CCACAAAGAACGTCAAGGGCCTACGAAATCTTTCCTACCATCAAACGCTGAATTCAATGGGGAGTTTCCAGTGGTCGCTGCCACAGGCTGCGCGGGGATCGCATATTAGTCTACCAAATATTGAGTGACCCTACTCACGTATGCCGTCACTTGTTGAAACTCAGCCATAACACCAATCTCAGGGGTAACCCAGTAAAATTGTGTGCACAGTTTAGCCGCCTGGAAGGCAGGGCGGATTTATTTTTCTTTTCGGATTTGCCAACCCTGGAACTCTCTCCCAAATTGTTTCCTCCCTCACTTTGGATATTTTCAAAAAACGATTTGATCTTGCCCTTGACGCCCATCACTTCGTTGCCTAAACTGTGCAACTTTGGAATATATTAACGATCCCTCCAAACCGGATTAGCATGTTACGTAAACCTGAGAATGCGGGACAGAAGTGAGTATGCTTGTTTTTACTGTTCACATGTAATACATTAACTACAACTGTCCCCATGTTGCCGCGTCGATCACATTCAATTCCCACTTGCACTACTCTTATTCAGCAGCGTACCGGCTAGACAAACGCCCAAACAGGCAACTCGCCTATCTTTTGCTTATTGTGGTTTTATCCGCACCATCTTGCAGGATTTGTCAAGAAACTGCATTTTACATGGCATAAATCCTTTTTCATTGTTTATTGAATTTGTGACATGATTATGTTGAAGATGAGTTTGATGCTAATTGTCAGCACGTATCCGTATCCTCTGTCTTCAAGATCCTCAGGATGCCAACGATCAGGTTTAAGAAGTGCTACTAGGAGTTAGACTGCGACAACTGTGTAACGACAACTACGAAGGAGAAAGACCTAGGGCTATATAAATCTCCGTACACTTTGTACTCCTGCATGCTAACTAACTTCTGCAGTTTGGTTTGAAAGTGCCCACTTTAAAATGTAAATGATGCATTTACAAGAAAGCGAGCAGTAACTTCAGACACGGTTAGTTAATGAATGGTTGTCCGGCTGTTGCCTTTGTCAGACTTTGCATCATATTGAGAATGCAGTTCATACAGCCCACCTCGGTAACCATTCCAAAGCCTTCTTGTATGACTGCACACAGCCGCCGTTGCAGCCGTTGCAGCAAATTGCCCTCGGAATGCCGTCCAGTGGTCTGGTCAACGCGTTGCAGGACATCTGGAGTCTGCTCCTCGCTGTTGTTTCGTCCACATTTCCGTTGAGTTTGGACGTCTTCTAGTCTGTAGGTAATGATGCTGTTTCTTGCCGTGCTCTCATTGACATCAGCGACGTCAGAATCTTCGTGAGTGGTTTTCCTTTGAGGAACATAAGCTTCGTGATGATCTCTTCCTGCGCCCATGTCATTCGTTTGTACCGCCGTAACCTCGGGAATGCGTTTTCTCGTCGTCGCCCATTTCGGTCATTACGTAAAGCACAAGGCTAGCATGTTATAATGAGTTTAGTGGAGTCAGGATAGGCTGCAGTGTGCTAATAGTCCAGCAGCTGCATAGCTTCTCCGAATGTTCCTAGAGGAACAGGGGACAACTGATTCAATGCCTATCTGCTTCATCATTGACGGTCCAGGTGCTAGAATTAGCCATGGTCCCCTTCAATGGGGAATCGTAATGCACTCACAAAACGATTGCTTCACATTGACTCACTAAATCTAGGTGATATCTGAATGGTGGGCCATTTTGGAATACAAGTTGTGTGATTGGATTGCGGCGATCAATCTCAATGTTGACCGCGATTCACACTGAAGTGAACCTTGGTCATTCGATCACTAGGACCGTAGCTGATGAGGTAGAAGGAAATTGGGTGTTGTTCGCCCGAAAACACCCAATTTCCTTCAAGGCATCAGTTGTTTAAGCCATACTAGACTAGTAAGTCGGGAGTCTGAGTTCGAAATAGTCGCACCACTACACAGGTTCATACGTAAGGGCACAGGCACATCAGTTACGCGAAGATCGATGGGGAGAGAGGGGAAACTTAATCACCGCATTTGATTGAGGTGATCGAGGTTTACGATCAAGAGAAGCATTGTAGTGGCACCGGCTGCCTACATAACTCGGTTGCAGTAGCATAAGTACAATGTGGTCTGAACATCGTCCAGTCGTCTTACTCTTCTCTGCTTGCTTCTGTGTTTAGAATGCATTGCGCTCAATTTGGTTTGCAAAACGTCCAATGTATTTCGCAAAACGTCCGGTTTGTTTTGTTAGACCTCCAGTGTGATTTGTAAAATAGTCCAAGTTAAAATGAAAGGGATGTACATGCTTGCACACATGGATTTAAACAAGCCCATCAATACAGACGATCACTCCGTCCACTGCCACATAGCAATTTAGCGCACATTGGAACACGAAGCCTAGGTACCAGATACTCACTCAGCCCTCAACATGCGCGCTCATTCGTCGAAGCTTGGGCAGCATCACACTTCACCACATCCAGTACTTATTCTTGACGATCTGAAATAGATGGCGTCGTGTCTAGCAGCTGTTGGACCCGTACGTCTTCCGGGATGGGGACCCAAAGATGAGGAGTGTCAATGGCTTAACAATCTTAAGGACCTGGCCCGTAACCGGAATCAGTCGAAGAATTGTGTGCATAATCGGATTGATTCACATGATTAATACTTTAACTATTGAAAATGAAAAAAGAAAAAGATCGGCGCATAAAAAACAAACGGAAAACGTTTTGTTCCATTTATTATCAAAATATTCCTTTCTTCCTGCGGAACAGCAGCTGAAGTGTGTTGTTCATCTTCAACTACTGTGCCACGATGATTACGACGCGGCGACTGTCTCTTTCCTGCTAATCTCCATGGTTTTTGTTCGTTCTATGTTTATCTACTAGACTGTTGAGATCACCTACATATTTGGCGACCTATCACCATCCTAAGAAGTTGACGGTGGGCTCAGATTTCGCGGAATCCCATAGATATTACGGAGCTGCCGAGATGCAGTGCCTTTTTGGATATTTTGTGCCTATGTGAATCACCTGGACAGCGGCGAACTAATTAGAGACCGTCTTCACGTGGTTCTTGCTACAACAGACAACAAGTCACTACTGTGAACTGAGTAATGTAGCAGCTGTGGCACCATTAGTCCACCTTTGCATGTCTAATACTCTTTATAAAAAACTGTGTTTGATGACAGAAGCTTGCTTTGTCACTACAATTACAACAAGTAACGGTCTAAAGGCCAGAACTGGCAGTTGAACGTTGATCTGGTCATAGTATTCCCTGTTTGCTGTGCTCTTATCATATATTAGTAGCTATAGCGCATACGGTAATCTCCCAGAATGAGTAGTCCGACATATGCCTACTATGGTTGTGGAGGGTTCTTACCGGTTATACAATGGCATTTGCTGTTGTCATATATGGTAGGCAGCATCCGGTTTCGGATTTGCCTGTCACTGTGGACAGCCACAGGACGCCTGCGCCTACAGAGGGACCATGGGTGGCATGCGCTGCACCACCCACAGCTCCAACCACACACCTCAAATCCAGTGTAAAACCGAAGGAATAAGACCGGGAGGCATGCGATTGGGAGCCACGTTTCATCAACGGAGCCGGCCCACACTCCTTCACAAGCAAACACAAACATACTGTATTTGGGAATCAAGCGCACACAAGGCGGTGGCTGGATCGTAGTCCGCTCCACACTAAGTGCATGGAACCACTCTTTGATCCTAACACGGTCACAAGAACGGTGCATCCCGTCCCCTCCAGCAACAACCAACTGTCTCCTAGAGCCAGTATGGACGAGGTAGTGGGTAATAGACAAGTAGGCACCTTGTCAACATGCACATCAAGCGCAGCCACACCGGAGATATCAAGCAACAGCCAATCACTTGAGAGAAATCTAACAAATAAAAGCAATGGAGTAATGCATAAGGAAACGTGACAAAAATCTTAAATTAATGAGCATATAAAATAAGTTGTTAACAAAGGATCCCAGATAAGTTCAGGGGGTCAGAAAGTATATTTTACGGAAATCACACAAACTCGAAAATGTCATCGAAATTAACTACAATTGGCTTAAGCAAGTTGTGCAGGATTTTATATATATATATATATATATATATATATATATATATATATATATTCAACACTATACACTACACTAGAGAAGCCACAGACCAGGATAGCGGATTTTCGTAAGGCACCCTGGATCTGTACCCAGTATGTCTCAACATCGGAGGATAGAGAACGCAGGTTGGAGGTTAATGTGTTCTGAAATGCACCGAGAACATTTGGAGCGTCAAGCTTGTCTGTGTCAAACCGTTTCCGGCGACGCTGTTGGATGCCTCCAGAGCGCAGAACGAACTTAGCACACACGAGCGCATGATCCGAAGTCAGATAAGTGTTCCATATTGACTTGCAGCGATGTGGTCAATTTGCGTCCAAGATTGACCAGGCGCCATAGGTTGCCAGGTGGATCGTTGGCGCTAGGAATGTCGGAAACTGGTGCTGGAGTGGAACAAGCCCTGGTCGGCGCACAGTTGCCGGAGTCGATCGTCGTTGTCCGTCCCGCGAGTACCGCGGCTGTGTTGACCCTCAAGTTCGCGCTCAGGAACCTCTAGTCTACCGACCAGCGTAGTTAGATCACCGGCGAGTATCACGATGTCCGTGAGGGATTTCTTGCGGAGGATGTTTGTTGGCAGTAGACCTCGTCTCTAGCTACGTCCGGACTGCAATCCGTTGGAGCGCACGCCACCACCATGCATAAACAGCGCCTATTGGTCCCGTGGCCAGAAGATCGCACTGAGCTTTCCAAGCGGAGTACACAAAGACAACTGTTGACCGCGAACCAGTAACTGAGCGCTGCCACAGCACGCGCGCGTGCCCCTGCTAAATCCGATGTAACCTCTATCTATTTCCTTTGTGTAGTTGGGGCCATTTACCACCGTTCACCCAATTCCAAGTAGGCGGTTATATTGAAGTGTACCGCCATAATTGAAGGCTAAGTAGTGCGGAACATTTAGCAAAACAGCTGTAGCTCACCTGCAAGTACGTGCTGTTCGCATTGTAAGTAAGTGAAGTCATTTCATCTGGGGCTGTGATGCCTGATCCACTCGATGGTACTAATTCACCCACTTGTGGTGTGGGAGGAGGTTCGTTATCTGTGTTAACTTGCCGCTTGCCCGATGTACGACCGGTTCCCTGGCCAGTCGGTGTGCCAGCTGCCGCCGCAGTTGAGGTGCCGTCGGGGTTCTTACGTGCACTCTTCGCCTGTTTCCCGATTTCTACTATTTGGTGGCGCAATTTCCTGGGATAAGGTAAGAAGGCAGTTCGTGTGGTAAAACACAGTGGGCAGATGTCTACGGTTTCCCGAAAGACACATTATCGAGTATCATGATGGACAAGAATAGCTGTACTAGTGAGTAACGTGGTGAAACTAGGCCTATGGCTCAGTGTAAGTGCATTATACTGTCAAGAGAAGTGCATCGGGTTTTATGGGAAGCAAAGCGAACTATATATATATATATATATATATATATATATATGTATATGTATATATATGCATAATGCCCATTCGGTGGTACAGATGTTGTGCCATCTAAATCATGAATAAATAGGAAAACAGTACGGATAATAAGAAAAGAACAACAACAACAACAAAAGCTTTTTTGTGCAGTTTACCACGCAGTTTTTGCAATTATTTTCAGTTTGGTTTTTAAGGGAAGGAACGAAGGTCACCTCAGCACACCGATGCACACGTCCGCCGACACTGACATCGATTTTGAGCCATGGCTTCCAAGATCTTAAACCAGCAAGTATCCGCATCTCTCGGACCCCAACCAGATAGTCGACAACAACCGGCCGAGTCCAACTGTTTCGTCAGCTTTTCGTGCGGTTTCTTCAAGTTGCAGGCTGTCCACCAGACCGTCTCTTCCAGCCCTGTCCAGCAACCGCAAATGACACACGACGCGGGTAACGCTGCACAGCACTACGTGTTCCACCCATCGCGGGTGATGCGGTGAGACGAGCTCCTGGAGCGAGTGGCTTCCTCCTCCCAAGACACGCTGTCTAACTTCCACATTGCTTACGTGGTGCCGCCATCGCACACGAGCAGTGGACTGCAGACAGCGGTGCTCGAAGACGGAAAGCATGAGCAAGTCATCTTTACTAATGGGTCAACTCTCGCATCCGTACAACAATACAGCACGAACAGTTGCACAATATGCCCGCTCCACAAGTGCCACAGCCTAGAAAATACGAGGCGTGCAAACGAGAAGCGCATCGAAACCTCGTCTCCAACGGCCCTGCCAGCAGTGGTGCAACTTCCCAAGTAGACAAAGCTCTCCACAACCTCGAGTGTTTCACCACCAAGCGTGATTGCAGTCAGACGCACCTGCCAGTCTTGCAAGTGAGTCTTGGATTTGGATGGCGGACAACAGTACCATTGGCATGGTGTCACAACGTATAGAAAATACACTAAACACACACAGATAGAATAGAAATTGATGTTCATTAGAATAGGGAGTCACAAGAAGTCCGCCACTGTGCACGATTTCTTGCCGAATCGGAAAGCGTTTCCAGCCATCTGTGTTCCGAATCCTTCACACTCCACCCAGGGAGCCGAGAGCGTCCGTCCACGGTTAACTTTGACATTAGCTCCTTCATACTCCTGGCCCAAGTCATACGTTGGCCACATTGCTTTCGCTTCCAGCCGACTTCTGCGTGCGCGAAGAGGGCACGGTGAAGTAAACGAAGAGTAGGCAGGCGGAATACGTACCCAAGTTACTGAATTCTGCGCAGCGAAATTGAACTACTTAGTGGCCTGCAAAATCTGTCTGATCTGAAAATCATTCGTCGAATATCTTTATTCCTAATGTGAGAATGCCATCGTACAGCAGCAATGCTTCGAAGGCAGCGGTGATCAAAAACAGACAGCCTTTCAACATCCTTTGCGTGAACACGCCGTCTCACAGCCAAGGAGGAGAACCGCTCTCACTGTGGCATTGTAACTCGGCCCTTGACAGCTAGACTCAGAGCACCTCGGCACCAGAGATGGCAGAGACTGGCAAAAGCAACCCGAAGTTTGCAGAGGCGCAAAGAGACCTATTCCGTTAAACCAGTAGCGCTGAGGCAGCTTCCGAGGTGAACGGACTTGTCCACTACTTCTGTTGAATTAACCAGTAGAATAAAGTCAGGAGCAGCACCTAGCCAGTCCTGCAGAAAATCTTGCCCTTCAGTGGTGCGTAGGTCGTTCCAAACTGGGAGACAGACATCTCCAACCTACACAGAACAGTTTGGGTGGCCTGTGAGGAAACGCAGATTACGGCGATGTCGTCTGCATATCCCAAATCTCGAAGTTGGTCCCCCGGAAGCAGCTCGACGCCGTTGGATTTGCAGTTTTCCAGAGCACTCTCCAAGATTTCGTCTATAGCGAAGTTAAACAAGAAGAGGAATGCTGGGTAACCCTGTCTCACGTTATTGGTGATACAAAAGTGGTTCGAAAGTCCGCCGTACACCCGCACTCGGCCCCAGATTTGAGAGTAAATAGCTTGAAGTAGGGTGACATACTTCTCGGGTACTCCCCTTCTCAAAAGACAACTCCAGAGAGCGGCTCTGACGACTGAGTCGAAGGCGGCTCGTATTTCTAAGAAGACAACCATGATTACTTGGAGGTTGTTTGTGAGTAGCGTTAGGTTCGTAGAAAGTAGAAATTGCGATTAAACCGCACACAATAATCTGCCTCGACGGGGAATCGAACCCCGGTCCACGAATTTCCGGTCCGCTGCTCTACCACTGAGCTACCGAGGGCTGACGATTAGGTGTACAATTTAATACATGACTTCTGCTTGGTGCACGACGTATTGCCAATGAGCTCACAGTAACTGTCCTGGTGTTGCAGATTGGCTCACTCACTCGTCACTTCCCAAGGGACCGAAGTAACTGTCCTTCTGAAGTCCAAAGGGCGATGGTAGATTACTTGGAGGATGTTTGTGAGTAGCGTAAGGTTCGTAGAAAGTAGAAGTCACGATTAAACCGCACACAATAATCTGCCTCGACGGGGAATCGAACCCCGGTCCACGAATTTCCGGTCCGCTGCTCTACCACTGAGCTACCGAGGGCTGACGCTTAGGTGCGCTACTCACAAACATCCTTCAAGTAATCTACCATCGCCCTTTGGAATTCAGAAGTACAGTTACTTCGGTCCCTTGGGAAGTGATGAGTGAGTGAGCCAATCTGAAACACCAGGACAGTTACTGTGAGCTCATTGGCAATACGGCTCGCACCAAGCGGAAGTCATGTATTAAATTGCGCACCTAATCGTCAGCCCTCGATAGCTCAGTGGTAGAGCAACGGACCGAAAATTCGTGAGACCGGGGTTCGATTCCCCGTCGAGGCAGATTACTGTGTGGAGTTTAATTGTGACTTCTACTTTCTACGAACCTTACGCTACTCACAAACATCCTTCAAGTAATCTACCATCGCAATTTGGAATTCAGAAGGACAGTTATTTCGGTCCCTTGGGAAGCGATGAGTGAGTGAGCCAATCTGAAACACCAGGACAGTTACTGTGAGCTCATTGGCAATACGGCTCGCACCAAGCGGAAGTTATGTATTAAATTGCGCACCTAATCGTCAGCCCTCGGTAGCTCAGTGGTAGAGCAACGAACCGAAAATTCGTGGGACCGGGGTTCGATTCCCCGTCGAGGCAGATTACTGTGTGGAGTTTAATCGTGACTTCTACTTTCTACGAACCTTACGCTACTCACAAACATCCTTCAAGTAATCTATCATCGCCCTTTGGAATTCAGAAGGACAATTACTTCGGTCCCTTGGGAAGTGATGAGTGAGTGAGCCAATCTAAAACACCAGAACAGTTACTGTGAGCTCATTGGCAATACGTCTTGCACCAAGCAAAAGTCATGTATTAAATTGCGCACCTAATCGTCAGCCCTCGATAGCTCAGTGGTAGTGCAATGGACCGAAAATTCGTGGGACCGGGGTTCGATTCCCCGTCGCGGCAGCTTATTGTGTAAAGTTTAATCGTGAGTTCTACTTTCTTCGAAGACTACCATGGTTGCCTGGCTAAATGTTTGACGACGTTCGAGTATTTAGCGGAGTGTAAAGGTCGATGCAACTCCGACCTGAGCGGAACCCAGCTTGCTCTTCATGTATGCTCTGTTCACGTACCAGGCTGAGCCTTGTTAGAAGCAGAGCTGCGAGCATCTTGAAAGTAACACAGATGAGATTAATCCCTTCGTGCTTGGCGCAGTCAGTTCGGGTAGCCTTTTTGAAGACGGTCACGATATCCGCAAGGCTCCAATCAGATGGGATAACTTCAGTGACCTAGATCGCTTGGAGGAGAGAAGTTAACTCCTGAACATGTGATGGGCCGAGATCTTGGAAAAGTGATGAAGGTAGTTCATCTTGGCCAGGGGCTTTATAGCGCTTTAGAAGGCAAAGCTCTTGTGCCACTTCAGTCTTGAATGGTAGCACTCTGGTCTCCAGAATGTTAACTCATTAGCGCTGTTGGCCGATTAAACGGCTGCTCAAAATGCTCAGCCCAACGCTCGAGTCGGCTTTTTTAACAGTGGATTGTATCGTTATTAGTTTCGCATAAAACTTCGCTTACAGTCGGCCTTTGGCTGCCAGTAGACAGGATCAGGAGGAAAAGCTTACTGCAATTCCCTGAGGTGGCCGCTTGCTCCATCTCAATGACCCACCGCGTCCATCAGGCCTCGCGATCTTCCTGGAGAAGCTGTTTGAGATTAGCGTTAGGAGTCTTGCGTATTGAAGGGTATTTACCGCTGGTAGGAATTGCTCGACGGGCTTTGAGAAGTTGGAGGGATCGTGCAGAGATCCAGTGGTTGACAGGACTACTCTTGTAGCCACAAACCCCGGTTGCAGAGTTGTACATGGTGCCACGGATGTTTGTCCAGTGCGTTTCAATGTCCGTGCATAAGGCAGTCTTCAGCCGTGAGGCCAAGGCATTCTGAAATGCCTGGAGAACTTCTTTGGCAGAAAGCTTAGCTACGTCAAGCCGTTTCTTGCGACGCTGCTGGGATGCTGCAAAAAGTAGCGCGACCTTGGCAACCACCAGTGAGATAAGTGCTCCAGATTGATTTGCAATCCTGTATGCTACACCGCCAGCGATAGCTAATGGCGGTGTGGTCAGTTTGTGTCCACGGCTGGCCGGGTGATGGGGGTCTCCAGGTCTGGCGTTGGCGCCAGGATCCCCGAAATCTAGTGCTCGACAGAAAGACGCCGTGAGCGGCGCAAAGTTGAAGTAATCGATCAGCTTTGTCTGTT